CAACTGATGATGATAACTTGATTTCACGATGACAACAAGAATCATGAATAGGGTTTTGGGATTGTGCTGCATGGATGATTGATAAAACGACAAGTAATTAACCAATTAAGTGGGGGATTAAGTTTGTTAATTAATTGCTTTACGCAAGAAATCAAATCAAATCTCAATTATAATACTCAATAAGGAATGTAGAAAAGGCATGACGTCCCGGAAACCACGCATTTGCAGTGATTGGTTAGAACATTGTCAATGATTCTTTGCATAATTTCAATTTATTTAATGGCTAAAGCATCAATTGTTTTATTAATATAAAAGCATATATACTTTAAGCTGCTTTAGCGCCGTATTAGATCTTTGGGAGGGCATGCGTTTGTGAGACTCTGTTCAACTCCGATTGGTTGATCATTTCATTAACAATTTTTCTTCTCTTTTGCTTTCGCTTTTTCCAAAGCTAAGGGACCAGCCACTACACTTCATAGTTTGCATGCTTATTGGCACAAACCAATGGGTATCTATCTTTACTAGTTTCTTGCTAGGGTTACATTATTTATAATTTATTCATAATTACTTTTATTTATTTATTTTTATTTTTGCCACAACTAGACACTAGTCAAGTCATATTATGCATGTATAAGAGTTAAGATCATGACAGAGTTAATTGATTTACTTCCTCAGGTTTAGGTCTATTATCCAAGTCCTGCAGTTTAAAGTACAAGGATATATCCCCCTTCCTTATAACAAACGATTAAGGATAAATTGGCAATCAAGAGCAAAATCTAAGTTTAAAAAACTGGGACAATATCACATTGAAGGATATTTTGGTTTTTAAACCAAAAAATTCTTTCAATTGATTGATTATATATGCAAAAACACTTTCTCATCCATATACTTTTAAAATATTATTTTACTATCTAAATTTATATTCCGGCCTTGAACAGAGAGTGAACTCGGTCCAGGCTATTGGGGCTTTTGAAGAAGGGAGGCTGATAAGTCTTTTGGTGATAAAAGGTTGAATTTTGGTGGTTGAGATTGATCGAAATTTGATTTGAGAGGGGCAGCTACACAAACCCTAATTGCTCGATTGTGGGTGATTAGTGGAAGTAAGGTTTAAGGAGTTTTGGTGAGTGATGATTTGGGAAGAGAATAGTGATAGTATGGGCTCGCAACGATATCGGAATCAGAAACGGAACATAAATTTGGATGCTAAAGTGATATTTTAAAAGTCTGCGGGTGTAAAAGTGTCATTGCCCAATAATTTGGGTAGGAAAAAGTCGTTTACTCATAATTTCTCTTACTTTATAATGAAGAGACATAGATACAAGGCAAGAGAGTATGTTCAATTTCTATGAATATTTAATCATTGTTGCAGATTAAAAATTAATGCAGGTTTAAAAAAAAAAAAAAGTTTCATATTACTCAACCTTGGTTTAATTATACAATTAATATCAATTATAAACACACTCAACTATGAATTAGAGAGATATGTACTTTAAATCCGTACTTTAGATTAGGATTTAACAAGACATTGACAGCTATGTTTGGGTAGCTTTAATGTTTTGATTAAGAATTAAAACAATACAATGTAATGATGAACAGTGTTTTGTGATTGTGATTTATAAACATCCATGGCGGGGCGGTGAATTTGTATAATATTATACAAATGATCGAGGTCCAGGGAAGTGAAATTTGACATGTCTTCCTCTTTCTCTCTCTGTGCAGAGAACGTGCAAAGATCCAAAAATTTAATCTTGAAACCGAGAAGCCATTAAATATGGACAAGCAAATTGATCAGAGCATGGGGAGGATGATAAAGGAGAAAGCATGAGGATTGGAAGGGTTAGAAATTTAGAATAACAAGACGCATTGGTAACAGTAATTGAATAAATGAATATGGCTAGAAATTGTATTGGAATTAAGTGATGAAAATGAAAAGATAAGGTCTTTATACTTGTTTTTTCTTTAAACTAGGTAATGGTGGTTTACTTTTTTAAAATAAGGGTGAGTGACCAATAAGAGATAAACCCACATTTATTCCATACGTGATGCAGCTGTCCTCTTTCTCGTGCTATATAAACCCCAACAGGCCTCCAACTTCTTCACACAACAAACCAATGTTCCATTCCAATAGAGCAACAATTAGCAATCAAAAAGACAGCCACCTGCCGGCTTCATGGGTTAAATTAAGTTGAAGGGTAAGTGGAGGTGACAGAAGAGAGTGAGCACACATGGTACTTTCTTGCATGTTTGGTTCATGCTTGAAGCTCTGCGTGCTCACCCTCTATCTGTCACCCCATCACCGTCTCCATCTCTTTCTCTCTTTCTATAATTATTTTTATTTTATTTTTTTGCATGAATTTACAGTAAGTTCTGTCAGCGAGAGTGCTGCCACCGCATTTTTAAGCAAGAGTTTATAGTAAAAATAATAATTATGAAAATCTTTGCTAGTTTAGAAGGTATTAGCATCCTATATAGGTAGGTTCTTGCTTTCAGTATATATTTGTAAATTAATTGTTTATTTTTGAACTTTCAGTAGTAGTCAGGAGTTGTTACTGTCGAAGCTTTGGTGTCTTGCAAATTGAGCACAAACACAGTTTTTATTCGTTTTGTGTGGGAAAAGGTAGTAGCCATCATCCTGTCAGGAGTCTCTCAAACTGATAATAACTGAATCTTGGTCTTCTACTTAATAAATTCTATATTAATTTAGCTCAAGCCATGTCTGTAAACAGTACTAACCGAGTCCAATATTGATCTCTTGTACATATGAAAGCTTCTGATTTGCTTAATAACCCTCTTCTCTTCATTAATTGCATGCCCTAGCTTCCAATATGTTTATTTTTCAGTACAGAAATTTGAAATACGCAATACCTTGTCTTTGGAGGAGAGTAAAATTAATGTTTTCAAAAAGGTTAAATCCAAATAACCTGTTTATTCAGTTGGAGAGATTGTATTCTTGATCTGGCGGCGCGGTTCTGAATGAATGTAAAGATGGATTGATCTTCAAGTTAAGTTTGGTTATATTAGCCATAAATGGTGCTTTTGTTGTTTTAATTTAATATTAATTTGAGTTTAATATTCCTTATCTTAAGTTAATGTGGTGGATCTGATTCTGAAATAATGCAGTGGAGTGGAGTTCCGGTATTATGTAGAGGAATTTTATCTGGCATGAAGTAGTGTTGAGTGACAGGGACCTTAATGTTGTATATATGAACGGCCGTAATTTCAATTCACAGTTGTTAATACTCCTGTTTGTGTATGCTATTCAAACCTATAATCCCCACAAGAATCTTTAATTATATTTAACTAAGATCGATCTTACTTATAGTAAAGTCTTTAATTTCTTACCCTAGCTTTCTATCTTTTCATTTTTCTCTTCCCTTTCTTGCCCTAAATAATGATTTTATTATTTGCTGAATTGATCTTTGGGAAAACTTGAAATTAAGACTATATTTAAGTTAGATTTGAACTTTAAACTTGTTTCCACAGTATGGTTAATTAATCTGAAGACGAAAAGTGCAGATATGCTGCTCTCTTCCATCAAACAGTCAAAGTTATGCATGCCCTAATGAACTGGGTTCCAAGAAGAACTTTGGTAGTGGCCGGAAAAGGAGTAGTGGCCGGAAAAGGAAATGGTTCCAGCAGACTCAATATTAATTGAACATGAACCCTCATGTTTTAAAGAGATCCAACTCCATGTTTGAATGTTATATACAAGATCTTATAACAAAAGAGACGGTGTAATATTTATTTATGGGAATGACTGAGTTCTTGGTGTAATATAAAATAAGAACGATATGGAAACTTAAACTTTTTTTCTAAAATTTCTATTTAATTTTAGTCTCAACATAAACAATGTCAAGATGAGGTTTTCTTGTTACATCCTTATATATATTAACCAAAAGAATAAAAGAATGTGAAGTAATTCCATGAAAATATTTAAAAGGCTAAATTATATCAGTGGAGGAACTGAGATGAAAATGGATTAGTGATTTAATCTACAATAGAATGTTGTATATGACAATGTTTAGTCAAAGGAGATGAGCAAAGAAAGAAAGAAACCTAATCTTAACACTTAAAATAAAACAAATATTTTCCAACTAATTAATTATATACATCATACTTCTGAAAAGAAGACAGATTTCTCATTCTTTAATATTTATTTTGATGATCCCAGTGAAGTATTAGTAAGTAAATCCAAAAATCTTATATCATGAAACAAATCACCATTCACACATCAAGTGAAAATGAAGCCAAAATATGTAAAAGAAAATTCTGGAGTAAATGCAAACTCAATCATGGAAATTTAATTAGAAATCATATGAAATATGAAAGAAAGAATAATTTTGCTTTTGCTTTTTGGGGGAGAAAGTCAGCTGACTTTGAAATTTGTACAAGGGATATGACTTTCACACTTTCTTTTTCAAAGTAGCCAACTTTCTCAAGATTGTGTCACAATTCTAGCTTCCTGTAAATATTATTTTAATTAAAAAAAATATGTGACTGATTTTTTTTGCCTTTAATTCAGTTAAATTTTTTTTAGCATTTTGATATATTAAAAGTTATTTTCTTTTTTTGTCTTTTTGTATATTACATACATCAAACTAAAGTGAAAATTACCATTCTCCCAAAAAAAAAAAAAAAAACCTAAAGTAAAAATTTTATCTTTAAAATATGCCTTAAAGGCACACCTTAAGACATTTTAGGTAACAAATACAGTATTCCTACCACTGATGGTTTTTCAACGCATCATATGTCACTTCAAACTAAATAGCTTCTTAATTTTCTTGATGGAATTTGATTTAATTTACCAATTTCAAAAGGGTTGCAAAACTTCCATATATTTTGTCAAAATTACAGTTAAATTTTTCAACATTTTCGTGAGTTCCATAAAAGACTAATGAAATAAACTGTAAAAGCAAAGCACCCTCTTGCCACAGAGGACAATGGTGATGGCTGCAATTTATCTTTGAAACTTGTACAAATGCATCGCAACACAAATAATGTTTAGAGCTCCCAATTGAGGATCCAACAAACCTTAAATAATCATATGGAAGAAGCTCAAGTTACAAAAAAATTTTTACATGGCAGAACCACTGTGCTCTGAATAATTAAATCAACTTGAAATATCATGGTGAATGTACCATACACAACTTTAAATAGGGGCGATATTTTGATAAAAGATTCAATATCTTGAATGACTTCACTCTACCTGGAAGTACATGATATTTAATGCTGAACATGGGATATGATTTTCGGAATCATCCTTGCCGAACCAAGAGCTGATGATGCTTTTAGATGGATATGCAGGATTTCCTGTCGGCCACTTGTCGACAAGCCTAAAACCATATCGTGATGCAGCTGAAAGTATAGATGGTTCATCGACTCTGCGAAAGACATGACACAGAATTAATGCCGGCTGTTGATCCTCCTCTCCAGTGCCTTTATTCGAAGGAGAAATCAACTCTTTTGCAGTTGCAAATAGAGGCAATATAGCTTCAGCAACGAAAGTGACATCAGTGCCCAAAATGACTTCAAAACCTCCAATATTTTCATCCTTAATGGCTTCTATATGGTCTCTATTTCCCCACTCTAGTCTCTTTGAAATAAGCTTGCCCAGGACTGGTGGTCTAAGGTTTGAGGTGACATTTTCGCTCAACAGGTCAAGTGCTTTTCTATCTCCATCTGTGGCTACCACAAGGTCAGCTGAGCCAACAGCAGCCATAGAGCAGATGCCCGCACAGCCAGACCCCAACTCTAAAACCCTTTTCCCTGCAACAATGGTTGGATTCCTTGCTAGGACGGCAGCCATCAAACGAGCTGATTCCCACAACATCAAGCCAGTAGATTTGCAGGTGTGTTGGTACTCTTTCGACAGTACTTTAATCTTAAAACTGCACCCTTTCAGGTTGACCTCAATCATCTAGCAAGTGACATTAGTGAGAGAGATAAGAACAAATGCTTGAGAAGAAATGATTAGTAAATTAATGGCAAGTCTACTTCTACTAATAATGAAGATGTCTGATAGATTATATTAATTCATACTTAAAAAAAGAAGACTAACAACAGTCTTCAAGTACTGTAACCAGAGATACTATAAGGGCATGTTTGACACTCAACTTAGGCTAAATATTGTATGATGTTTGGTAGAACATTGCATTATATTATTTTTATGCTCTGTTATATTTGGTGAATGAATTACATTGTACAATATTATTTTTATTTCTAACAAAAAATCATTATAAAAAACTAATGTATTTTTCAATTATTATCTAACTAATAAATTAAAAAAATAGTCAAAAAGCTGAATGGGTAGGTGATCAATACTGGTCAACGGAAGTCAAAACACCGATCAACCCTGGTCAAACTCTGGTCAACAAAAGTCAAACACCGGTCAACATCGGTCAAATGATGGTCAATAGCAGTCAACGGTGGTCAACACCATTGACGGAAGCACCATAAAGATCAATTCGCCAGTTTTGGGCCGATGCTGATCCTATAAGAATTGCTTATATATGTCATGATATAAGTAAAAAGTTAAGAATCAACTTATGCAATAAAGTGGATCCCCTAAAGTATTGAGCAGCGGTGTAGCATAAAATCCCAAAGACAGCCCAATTATTCTCCTTTTATTTCTGAAGTCTAAACAAGAGGGTATTCTTGTTATAGATTGAATTCAATCAATTGTTCGTATTGAAATGAACGGCATTAATCATAGTTTGATCGGCCACTACATATTTAAATTTATAAATATTAAATTAATTGACAATATTTATTTGTTTAAAATCAATTAAGTTACATTGCATTAACTAATGCAATGGTTTTACTTGGCATTATTTAATGTAGAGTATATTGCATTATTTTAGACTTGACATTACTTAATGCTATGTAGTACTATCACCAAACACAGCATTGCATTATTTCAGTGTTATGCAGTGTCTCTAATGTTATGCTATGTCACCTGCCAAACATGCCCTAAAAACACTAGACATTGGTTAAATTCAAAATTTTGACAACCTTTTAGAGCATAATTTGAAAAGATTGTCACAATGCTTACAAAAACTTCAAGAAACTACAAAGATAAAAGGCATAATGTAATCATTTACCTCCTTATCCTCAGATGGTGAAATTCCAAACATATCAAAAGCCAGACCGTCGGATATATCAACCTCAAAATTGTTGACAGGCCCCTTCAAATCACTCTCAGCAGCATGTGGGTCCACAACCTCTTGACCAATTAGGTTCGCCTTGCCTGAAGTTTCCTCACAAAAAGAGGAGTTCATGCCATCCGAAAAGCGGAATACAGCTTGGACCCAACGTCTAAAATCACACAAAAACCATTGCAGCTGATTTAGAGAAAGTGTGAAACACATCTAAAACAAGAGAAAAGCAATACTTATGCACAGGACAGAGAATGAAAGAAGCTTGTTATTAATCCAGAGTATTAACCATTTACCGATTCATCACTAACTCCCGCGATCGGTTCTCAACTTGTTTGCAGCATAAACCAAATTCTTCAACATCAAATCCATTTTTTTTAAACAAACTTGTCAAGAAATCATTAGAAAAATAGAAAGCGCGCTGCACAGGGAACAAGTGGCAACATTATAAATTAGTTTAATTAAAGTGCTAGAATACTAGAGGACAAGAGAGAAACTCACCGTGCCATCACCTCTGACGTAGAAATTCTCACTGATTTTCTGATCCTTGCCTGTTAATCTTTCCTGTCAATATAGTATAAAGAGGCATGGGACAATGACATCACAAGAACAAGAAGTAACAAATCTAAGATAAACTTAAAGTTAACAAGGTTTAAGCCGTTCGATGGTGATTGCGAGTGCCCAACACAATTGCCAGGATAATTAAAATGAGAAAAAAAAAAAAATTCCATCTTAGTCAAGCTAAACAAACCCAAATACTCAATCTGAAATAGAATGCCCATATTATTCTAACCACAGGTATGAGATAATGTGATTCATAGTGAACAATCAACTTTATCTGTCACATCAGAGGTTAAAGAACAAAACATAGTTCAGGGAGGATTTCATCTTGTTGCAAGCATAGCTATTACTGATTATAGCCATTTAAATGTAAAACCTACAATAAGTTGTCTAATCAAAACAAATGATTACTATAAAGATCATCTATGAGTGTTTATACTTGCTTAAGAACAGCCACTGGCATACTGTACAGATCATCTGTCCGAAGGTATTTGAGTGTTTGCATTAAGCAGTATTTATTCACACACCTACTCACATGAAACAACAGAATCTAACCAAAAGAATCTAAAATATAAATTTCCAGGCAACAAAAAAGGCAAAATCTCAGCCACATGCTTTTTAAGACTGTTAACAGAAACTGAACACAGACAAAAGAGTTCCAGTATCAATCATCGGAAAAGAAGAAAAAAGATAAATGAAATACATAGAAGATCAACCTGAGCAAGGTCACCAATTGCATAGTCACGAAACAGCACGTAACCACCTGGCTGAAAAGAATCAGAGACAGAGTTGCATCACAGCACATAGGTCATCATTGCAATGTAGTTTAGAAACACAAACACATTCAAAGTTGGAGATATTAAAACCACTTACCTTAAGAACTTTTCTAATGTTCTGCAAGACTAAAGGCATATTCTCAGGGGACACTGCAGATAACACAAAAATCTATTTAACGGGTCAGCTAGTTAATAAAAAATTTCATGAGTAAAGCTTAACAGAAGAGCAAGTTCCTCAATTAGAAAATAGGTACAACAGTAATTATACATATCAAAATTTTGACCAATTGAACAATCATGTAAACATTATCATAAATCAAAACTTCCCAAAATACCATGGTTACAATGTCGATTGATGATGGAGAAATCTGCTTGCTCAGGTCATCAGCTGTCAGGTCGCAAACGAACGCGCTAACACGAGTCTCAGTGAATTCTTTGTGTGTCTGCAACCAGTAAAAAAATCCAACCATGCTAATGGACCCATTTAAACAAAACTTTTGGATTCAAGGTGCACATGTACATGCAAATGCCATTGGATCAACAATAAACATCTTAAGAAATGGCCATTGTTTGAATAATGAAAGNGTTTAGCATACAGTCCAGTCAAAAGTTGATCATCAAGTTTACTACTACTGAGAGCACACGAAGTATATATGGAAAGAATTGATAATAACAGGTCTCTTGAATCTGTTTGGATCGTGGATTGCAACAATCTTAAATCCATTCCTGAGGGCCTACACACCCTTGGCAATCTTAGCCATATTCGTATACGAGATTGCAGAAGTCTTGTTTCGTTCACAAAAGATGGGCTTCCTAACACTGATTTAAAAGTTCATACCAGTTTTTGTGAGAAGCTACAAATGCTACCTTATTGCTTGAACAACCTCAAATCTCTTCAACACTTAGCCTTACGCCACTGTCCGAGCATTTCCTCCTTTCCTCGTGAAGATTTTCCCACCAACCTAAATTCACTTTTAATTGATGAGCCCAATATCTACAAGTCACTGACTTCGTGGGGCTTACACAAACTCACCTCTCTTAGAGAACTCACAATCCGTAGATCCCCGGATGCAGTGTCTTTCCCAGAAGTGGAGATGGGAATGATTTTACTTAGCTCTCTAATTGATCTCTCACTTGAAATATTCCCGAAATTGAAACACCTATCTTCTAAAGGCTTCCAAAATCTCACATCTCTTGAATCATTGACATTCAAGAATTGCCCTAATCTCGCATCTTTTGCAAAACTTCCATCATCAGTTTTGCAACTACATATTTATGAATGTCCTTTGCTGAAAGAACAGTGCAAATGGAATGAAGGATCAGAGCAGTTCAGGATAGCCCACATCCCTTGTGTTTATATCGATGACAAATTCATCTATGATCCAGAGGAGGGAAGAATCAATCCCATTTGATCCCAAAACAAAGAAGAGGTGTTATTTAGACGATCAATCGCTATCCATATGCTCTTTTCAGGTCAGTCAATATCCAGTATTTAGACCATAAGTCTGAATCTTCTGATTAAGATCTTTGTAAAACAGAGTTTTGTTAATACTTCTGTCACTTCATGCAGGATGCAGCTCAAAATTCTCAACTCCCAGGTGCGGCGGTCAGCTACTCAGCTTTACCATGTGATCTGTTAAAACTTAAACTCAGGTAGTTAGTAATCTGTTAAACAGTTTTACTATTTTTAACTACGTGAAAACAGAGGCTAAAAAAGAACTCTCTGCATTGCATTAAAATGTGATTAACTTTTTTTTTTTTTAAAGGGCTTATAAATATATAATTCAGTGAGATTGAAGTGGATTATTTGAAACGTCAAGTACATCTCCCTATCAGACTGAGATTCAAAGACGTGCTGTATTTTGGTTTAAACAAAAGTTGAAAATGAAGTACTCTTCTCAAATCTTAAATTTAATTGCATCATCACCCTCCTTGATTCTTTGAACTGAATTTAACTTCATCGTCACCCACTGCAGTGGGTGGAAGTAGCTTTGTTACCTATTCAATCAGGTACTACAGATTTTTTGGTACATCACATTCATGCATCAATGATTCAAGTGACTGTAGGTATTAAAGTTTCTTTAGATTCATGCAATATTTGGGTTTCCGTCCAGATGATCAATTCATGTTATTGATGAGTGGACTAAAAAGAAGCTTGGATAGCAAAGTTATGATATTTACATATCTTTTATCGCAATTCTATTTTTTTTGTCTCTAGTTTATGGAATCAGACTATGAAAGTTATTGGGAACAAAAAATTCAACATAACTTTTGCATTTTAGTTAATTGTTGTTGCTTNGCAAATAAATAACTCTGTCCAGACTTGTGCTGGCCCCCTACAGTAGAACACTACATATTTATTGCATATTCTCAAATGAGTTCATTCATACAATCAACTGTATGTCAGAGAGAGAGAGAGAGAGAGACCAGGAAAAACGAACCTTGACCAAGTTAACAGCACGTGGTGAAAAGTCACATGCATGAACAAAAATATCCGGGTATGTAGCAATCAAAGGAAATATAGTATTTCCAGCTCCACAGCCAATCTGCAATTTATATCAGTACAATTACCTCAAAAATAAAAACTTAAAAAGATAAAGATCTTGCAAAGAAAAACATTGATTAGAGACAAAAAAGATGTGCAAAATTGAAATCAAGGCTGACAGCTATTTCAAGCCTTCATGATACGGTAAGGGGGAAAATGATTCAATGAAAATCCATGAAGAAAAACCAGATGCAGAAAGGAATTTCAAGAAGATTTTGGCCATTAAATTGTGTTTTACGTATGGTACTATTTGGCCCCAAAATTCTTTGAGATGAAAATACTATACGCATAAATTCTTCGTACAAACTAACTCATACATTCTGATATGTTAAAATATAATTGAATGACTTAAAACCAAAGATAACTGAAAAAAATTAAAGTAGATGATGTAGCAAACATACAAGGTTGCCAAATCAGTTTTTATAGATTAGTTTGTAAAATGACTTTGCATATGTAGCATCATTCTTCAGAGTTTATAACTTAACTGTATCATGTGATAATATAATCTAAAACAAAATTTAGACTATGTTTACTAAATTCCTTTTCGGTTTCCATATATGGATCCAAGTAGATTATTAGTTTCTAATAAATTTAGAAAAAGCTTATATGTGTAATTCCTATAGCAACTCTTGCCACAGATTTGGATTGAAATAAGATTCACAATGATGCATTCCTGATTTATCTACCTTAATTTTTTCAGGCTTCAAGTTTTAGATGCCTTCGCTCAAAGTATTCAAGTCAGTTTCATATTTTCCTCCCCGGAATTTGATTAATATAATAAAAACATTAACCTTGCAGCTTTTAAGCCTCGATTCTAGCTTCATTCAGGTTCAATTATTTGTCTAATTGTCAATCTCCAACCCCTAACCTTTCGCTCCCCGTCTGAAAGGGGCAAAGCCACTTTGCACCCCTAATAGACTAAGACCACTTAGGCTACAGCAAAGAAAAATCACTCAAACAAATTCCAAACTATTAAGGGAAGTTTAATCAATAACCTAGTAATTAAATTGCCAAGGTTTGATCCCCATGATCTTTCTTTTCTTTTCAATTGTACTACAATTCTAATGCCTTTCCACTTGATTCCAAAAGCAAATCAAACCTTTTTACCTGAATACTCTGTCCATCTGGAACCTATTTTCGTCAATTTATAGCCGTAAAATTTATGTTGAAATGAGATCTTGTACAATAGTGTTTTCCATTTTGCATGACAAACAAAATATATTTAATTGGCTCATTTCAGTAATTGGGCTGATTCAAACTATTTGAATAATTTTGTAATTATTTGTCATAGAAAAGAAACTTTTGAATTCCCAGTAGAAAGCATTACAAAATCCACGCACAAAGCAGCATATTTTGTCATGTATTTAGGGAGCCCTTACACCCAAAAGCTTTCAGAAATTATAGAGAAAGAGGAAGACCCTAAAAAAATGTACTGTTCTACAGAGGAAGCAAAACAAGGCAGGCAGCGTTTGCAAATGAGAGACAGATTTGCAACACATCTCATAGATCCACCATTAGGTAACCAGGGAATTATAAGAGTCAGCTTTGGAACTATGCTCTAGATGAAGAGGACCTAGCAGCCGTTGAAGTGCAGTAAAGCTTTCATTTTTAGTCCCTCAATTAACCCAGTTTAAGAGCACCATTAAATACAATTATTATGCACTAATAATATAAGTATCTAAAAAGATACAGAATGATTTACCTCTAGAATGTCTTTTCTCCCAGCTCCCTGAAGAATAAATTAATTTAAAAACAAACCCATAAACGAAAAAATTCAGGGAATAGAAGAACTTACAAACCGAAAGTAAAAATAGAAATACAGTTTTGTTTCTTAACTCACAGTGAAATAGTGACCCCATTCTTTGTCCAAGTAATGCCGATCTTTAAAAAACTGAACATAAAAACACAAGTAAATAAAATCAACAAATTCAAAATATTAGAAAACAAATGAGAAACAAAACTGACTTTGTCTTGATGCCGTTTGTAGAACACATCCCAATACTTTTTAGCCTCTCTTTCATACTTGTCTGTTGAATGAACAAAACAAGAACTGAATGAACTGAATCTTAATCTTAAGATGAACGAATAAGTGTTGGTCCAGAAGAGAAATAGTACCTCTCCAGTAAGAGGAAACTCCAGTATTACAAGTGGAGTATATTTGTATCTTCTGAGTTTCTTCTTCCATTTTTCAGCTTTCTGGGGAAAATTATTCGCATAGATACAATTCAGATTTAGATTGAAACTCAAACAGTGAAATAAACAATTCAGATTTATATGGCAAATGATTAACATAATAATAAATAGAATTACATAAATCTCTGATAATATTCAACACATGCACCTGATTTCTATACTTCAAACGAATCAACACAGGCACGCTCTCAGTTAACAGGAAAAGAAACAGGGTTTTTCCGTTTCGTGGAGGGTTTTGTTGGGGTTTTCAAAAACGCTTAAATTTTGGGACGGATTAATTACAATAACCACCCCTAAGGTTTTAAAAATTCCGTAACTGGTAAGGGGCAGATTTGCCTTTTCCTTCACTTGCAAACGCTAGATAATAAGACCGCTTCTGTCCCTGCAACTCCTTCGAACAAACTGAGCAACAAGCTGAAGAAATCCGATGGTTTCTGTAAAATCCCTAGTGTACATCATCATCTTCATCATTATCAGGTTTGCTTAACTTCCTTCTTTTTTTGTTTTTGGCAAATTAGTGTTTGCTTGTAAAATCTATGGCTATTCAAAAGGCCGTACTTCAACATATTTTATGAGTTTTTAAAGCTATTTGAATAATATTTTTGTTAAATGCTTCTGAAAATAAAAACATAATTACCCAAACTTCTTGAAATGTGCAGCGGATGGTTGATTGCTTGTATTTGTTTTATTGATGATTTTGGTTACGGCGGTATTTTGGTTAGCAATGCTAACAATTTTGTATTTAAAGATTAACAAGCAGTTTGCAATGGGTTTGTTTATTAAGATCATATCAATGGGGACTGTCATATTCATGTTGTCTTTTTAAGAATTAATAAAGCCCATACATTTGTATGTATAATTATCATAGCAGTGTTGGTGATCCTAGTTGAGATGGCGGTGGTGGTGGTAGGTTTGGCAGGGATGGCATGTTAAAGTTCTTTGGTTTATGGGTGGCGGCTACCTCTCAGGTTTATGGTTTGGGTTTTAATAGATTTTGGATTAGGGTTTATTTATTATTTTTTAATTACTGTTATATAAATATAATTATACAAACGCCAAGTGTATTTAGTCTAAACCACAACCAATTTAAAAATATATGGTCTCCATTTGTATTTAATTTGTTCTTTTATGTGTTGGTTGTGGATAGCAATGGTTTCGAATCTGTTATTGCTGGTTTTGTCTTCTTATTTCGAAAATAGGAAGCCTAGTTTTAGAGATAAGAAAATATGTTCTGCATTTTGTACTTGTGATTTAGAAGAGTTTTGCATCATTTTCTAAACTTGTAACTTTAGTCTGGTGGGTTTTGCTGGGTTGGGTTCAATGACACTTCTTTCTTTCTTTTTTTATTTTTTCTAAGAAAAAAATGAAGTAAAAGAAAGATTTGATGAAGTGTTGATATGTAATTGTTTGGAATTTCTATTTAGAAACTGGTGGAAGAAGATAAGAATGAAGAACAGATTATTGAAAAAGAAAAAAAAGCAACGAATTTTCTTAAGTTAATCATTTCAATAATGTAAATATTATTAATACATCAATCATTGCTTTTCAGATTCTTTTTCTAATTCATTTTTATACCCATATAAGATCAATGAGGAAATTTTAACATTATATAACTTTTCTTGGATTAGACAAAATATTCCTGTGGCTGACAAGGAGTGCAGCGTTGCTTTTCCGTTCTAGTGGATCCAAGTTACTTAGCCTGAGTCTGAGGGACCCAAATTAATTGTCTCCTCTAAGCTCTAGTCTTAATCCAAGGTTAGTCAATCTAATCTTTTGTTAAGATTTAACTTGATTTATGTTGTCTTTTGTGGACTTATGAACACCTCAACTAATAGTTATGTTTCAGAAATTCCGCTGCATACTCACCTCAACACACTTTACAAAATTTAAAATTCCGAACTCATTGCATAGAAATTTTCATTTTGAGTCAAAAGTGGGTTTTAATCCACAAAATCAACTATCAACTTCAGAACCAAAAACTTCTCTAAACTATGTGGGAATTTTCTGGGATTTGGACAATAAACCCCCAAAAGCATTCCCGCCATTTGAAGCTGCTGTTAAGCTTAAAAAGGCCTTGTCTTCATTTGGAGTTGTAAGTTACATGGTAGCATATGCTAATAGCCATGCTTTTAGTTATGTTCCTGAAGTTGTAAGAGAGCGAAGGAAAGAAAGAAAATTGTTGAACCAATTGGAAAAGAAGGAGTTGATTAAGCCTGTTGAGCCATATTTATGTCGTGTTTGTGGGAGAAGATTTTATGCTAATGAGAAGCTTGTTAACCATTTTAAGCAAATTCATGAGCGCGAACACAAGAAGAGGTTGAATCAGATAGAATCAGCCAGAGGGAAGAGGAGACTAAATTTGGTTGCTAAGTATTCAATGAAGATGGAAAAATATAAACGAGCAGCAAGGGATGTTTTGACTCCGAAGGTGGGGTATGGTTTGGCAGATGAGTTGGAAAGAGCAGGATTTTGGGTTAGGATGGTATCAGATAAGCCACAAGCTGCAGATGTTGCGTTGAGGAATCATATTGTGGAGATGATGGATAAAAGGAAGATTGAGTGTTTGGTTCTTGTATCTGATGATTCAGATTTTGTGGAGGTATTGAAGGAGGCCAAGTTGAGGTGTCTGAAGACAGTTGTCGTTGGTGATATAAATGATGGGGCATTGAAGAGAGTTGCTGATGCTGGTTTCTCTTGGAGGGATATTTTGATGGGAAAGGCAAAGAAGGAGGCTGTATCAGTTGTTGGGAAATGGAAGGACCAGAATATTTTAAAGAGGTTGGAGTGGACATATAATCCGGAGGTGGAAAAGAACAGATATCAATCGGATGATGATATTGTTGATGATAATCACACGGATTGTATCAAGAAGGAAGATGACGGTGCTTGGTGGGAGTTAGAATCTTCTGATGCAGACGCCACTTCTTAAAAAAAAAAAAAAAAAAATCCTTTGTTTGCATTTGTGAGTTCTGTTATAAGAACCTCCGGGAAGCATGAGTGTATAAATCCTCAGATTTAACTAATTTGTTGTTTTTGAAAGAATTGCTATTGATGTCATTCTGGTAGAAAGATGGGGTTTTGGTGTGCTGTACAAGTAGAACATATATATAATATTTTAAATGAATGAGATGGCTGAGATCAGGGCAGCCTATTACATTTGTTTATGATGGTGAATGTGAGTTAGGCAGATATTTTGGTGATTCATTTACATGAGACCTGTAATGTCAGTTTAAGTACTAAACATTGGAAACAATGACTTGTGCCTTGTTTAGTGATTGGCAGTAATGTAAAAATCAAGAAGAAATGCCCTTTATTAACAAGCAAAAATTATTAAACTAATTATTGGCCCCATTTCTAGGCCATACATTACTCAACACCATGTTGATTTATCAAACTTAAAAATTAATCAATTGAAAGGATAAAATGAAAACGAAAACGACACCGTGGAGGAGCAGCAGAAGGTGAAGGGCAAAATGGGGATAGGAAAAGTAATGAATTGAAAACCCCTCTCGATCCATAATTTAATCGCAGACCCTCTTAGCTCACCATCTCTATCCACACACTCTCTGCTCTTTGAACTCCTCCAGAAAAATCAAACACTCGCTCAACCGATCCGAGGAGTTCGGGGAAAACCCTAACCCTAAAAACGAACAAACAATCGAACGAAAACTCCCGCTCCTCTCTCTTCATCTCATCGCTATCAGGTTCGGTTACTTTCCTTTTTCTTTCGCTTTCGGCAGATCATTGTTCGCTTGTTCAATCTATGCGTTTTCTCATGTTTGATAGTTTTATATGGCTCACGCTTTTACTAACTTCGTTTACGAGTTTTTAAAACTAGCGTAATTTATTTCAATTATTATTATTATTATTTTTGGTTAAAAGACTTCTGGAAATAGAAATAATCTATATGCAATGATGTTCAATTTGGCTATGGTTGATTGCACGTGTTGTTTCACTGGTGATGCGGATTTATGATTGTTTTGTATTTGTTATGACGGTGGATATGCAATACTAACAGTTATGCAGTTAATATTTAACAATTTAGAATTAAAATGAACTAAAGTATAAGAGCAACTGGTGACTGCCATATTTATGCCGGTTTATAAGAATAGGTGAATCAGATTCATTTTTTATGTTATATTATAAAAGTGTATATGAAGCTTACTCATTATTTACAATTTTACAGTTATAAACTGGGTTATTTAGAAAATTGTGATATGTGAGAGTTGTTTCTTCATTTTCGTATCGTTAAGTGGTTTTCTTGAAAAGTACATGGTAGGTGTTATTGCGTTTCTTCTACGTTTCGGGATTTATTTTCATCACTAAAAAATTGAGTGGAAAGTCTCATAGTTGCTTCATTGGAACATATTGCTCTGTGGAGGCTTACATTTTTTCCATATGCATTTATCAATTTCCATTTATCATATTGCTCTGTGGAGGCTTACATTTTGTTAGTTGTGCAAAGAGTATACTCATTTCTTGTAAGGCTTCTGTGTACATTTTTGTCTCTTTTTCACAGAGGATCTTGACTGTAGTGGACATTTGGTCCACTCTTGTACTTTTTTTTTACTTTAATATGTTTCATATAAAAAAGGAAAAAGAAAAATTCCTATATCATTTATAATTCTGCTTTTTGTCAAACAGAAGAACAATATCATCACAGCTAGTTATGTATTGTTTACTGTTTGCAGTCGTGGCTGGTATGGCAACTGAAGGATCACAATTTGACGCTCGTCAATATGATAATAAAATGAACGAGTTGTAAGTTTTGATTCCCTTGAATTTTTTATAATTTTGATGGTATCATGTCTTATACTTTGTGCTTTTTTAGTAACACGTTTAGTTAGCTGGCAAAACTTTGCTTATCTTTCCCCTTCATTTGATGTTTATATAATCTCCATGTTTAATTTGATATATTGGTATGAGCAGACTTGAATCTGATGGGCAAGATTTCTTCACATCATATGATGAGGTTCACGAGAGTTTTGATGCAATGGGACTGCAGGAGAATCTTCTTAGGGGCATATATGCATATGGTGAGTTAGATCATGCTACAGTCTAATCTTTTCTTTTTTCTTTTTTCTTTTTTATTGTTTTTGGGGGGGAGGGGAAAGGGGGTGTGGTGGGGTTGTTTCATGGCCTTCTGACATCTACCATAACTGCAAGCAGATTCAACGGGTTTTAAAAATAGGCAGAAGCCACCTCACCATTTGGTGCTTTCCATTAAATTTCTTTTTTTGACCAAATTAACCAATTAAATGAATTTTTTACCTTCCTTTTCTCCAAATATATTGAGTAGCAATTTGAACCTTGAACATTTTCTATTCTTGAATTAAACATAACCTCTTAACCAACTGAACTTGACCTTCTAATGGACCTTCGTTTTGCTGGTATGATACAACTTTAGAAGTATTGTGAGTCATCAAAACAGTCTCTCATTGATGAAAACAAACTAAAATGCATGAAGGTTCAAATTCTAAGTGGTGGCGGCTTTAAGGTCACTCTCAGATGACGTGGCCCACATCTAAGCGGTGGAAGCTTCATGATTCATCTAAGTGAATGAATTGGGCTTGTTGGTATTGGGTCTGACCATTTGAAATTTAGTGGAAAACTTTGTTTATTTGAAGACTAGCATAGGGATTGTTGGGTTGTGGTTAAGAAAAGTTCTAACATGGATAAGTACAAATAAAAATGTATGCTTGACATTAAATAATTTCAAAGGAGTATTTCTTTGGTGGGAATGCTGAAGAAAGTGGAGATATAGGAATAGAAGAAGAATGTATGGAGGGAAAGAAGAGAGTGGAGTATTAAATTTTTCTCCAGCTGGTTTAACTCTCAGTCTCTGCGCAATTCCTATCCCTCTCCATCTCCTCTTCTCTCTTTTACCTTTGTGAGCGATTCCCTAATCGTTTTCAATAACCACGTAAGCAATCTCAGACTAGGATCCAATCCACTACCATGTCTGAAGACTGGAATCATTGTCTGACAAGTGGAAGAGAAATACGCAAAAAATTAGCCACCAAAAATATGCCTATTAGATTTTATGGAGGTTTGTCTATAAATTATTTGTGTTGGAACCTCGAGATAACTGTGGATAACAATGATGTAGCAAAGCAAGTTGAGTTGTGGTCCTCTCTTGTCTGCTGTTACTTATCTTTTTTAGGTTGTCTTTGTCCTTTGCTTGTAGGTTCCTAGGTGCCTTAAATAGATGTTTTGAGGTGAGAAAAGTGGTGTATCTAATTTTTGTACTTGTTCGCAAAAAAAAAAAAAAACTAATATTAGGTGAAAATGGTGTCTTGGGAAAATAGATTTTTTAAGAGATGTATGAACTAATGCTTGATGAAAATGATGGCCAGTGATAAAATGTTTCTCATGATAGTTTTATAAGCTATTGTTGGATGAAAATGGTGGCTGATCTGCAAAAATGTGTTTGGAAAAATGTGGATTGTTAAGAGATTATAATAAGCTTTTAGAAAGAGATTTCAGAATTCATTTTTCTTGGTGTTTTATTTTTTTAAAGTCATATAAAGCAGTGGCTTTTTTGGGGTAAATTTGATTGAAACCACAATCAGCAAGAAATATTTTGTTTATTTCAATGTAAATATGATCTGCTTGTAATTAGGCCAATTCTCATGGGGGGTGGGGTTGATGCAATTAAACCTTTTTTAATAGCTAAATTGCTTTAAGCTGATGCTTGTGACTTTATGGAATTTCCCTTCTATTTTAATTTCTTTAGGCTTCAGCTTGAGAGACTTGCTTCATGCTTGGCTAATCGATTATTAGTGTCTAATTGTTTGATAAAAGACCTTATATCCTTATCGTAATAACCTTTTTTTTTCTGTGTTTGGGTTATGGTTCATTTGATTTTGTTATTTCTTGTGTTAAAAGTTAAATGCTTGCTTTTCTGATTAAGTTGTAACTTATTTATCCTTGGAGTGAGTGATTTTTTAGAGTGTGATTTTCTACATATATGTACAGAATTTAGTATGTCACTTCGAAAATATAACAACTGTTAGTTTGGTTCAAATCTTTTTAAAGGTTTTGAGAAGCCTTCTGCAATTCAGCAAAGGGGGATTGTACCATTCTGCAAGGGGCTTGATGTAATTCAACAAGCACAGTCTGGGACTGGAAAAACGGCAACTTTTTGCTCAGGAATTCTGCAGCAGCTTGATTACAGCTTAGTTGAATGCCAGGCATTGGTCCTTGCACCAACTCGAGAGCTGGCACAACAGATTGAGAAGGTTATGCGAGCCCTAGGTGACTACCTTGGTGTGAAGGTTCACGCTTGTGTTGGTGGAACTAGTGTTCGTGAAGATCAACGTATTCTTTCTAGTGGGGTTCATGTTGTGGTTGGTACCCCAGGCCGTGTGTTTGACATGCTGAGAAGGCAATCTCTCCGCCCTGATAACATTAGGATGTTTGTGTTGGATGAAGCAGATGAAATGCTCTCACGAGGTTTCAAGGATCAGGTCCTTGCTTTACTTTTAATTTTGAATTCATTCTCGTGATATTTGTTAGTGTTTGTGGGAAAAGGGCACATGGTAAGCTGGAAAGTAGGGGGCTGTAAGTTGTGCATCTGAATGACTACATATGATATTTAATGGGAATCCTATTTTGCTTACAGTGGAGCAAACATCTGTCAGCTGAGCCTTATTTTTGTTGGTCAAGGTGTCAGAGAATTAAGGGATCTGTTTGAATTTTTTTTTTTTTTTTAACTATATTAATTGTGCTTGGACCTTCAAGCTAGATTGGCATCTAACATATTCTTATACAAGTTTAGGGTTGATCTGTTTGCTATATGTTCTCTCTTCTCTCTTTTCCTTAACAAATAAAGTTGCTCTTCTATCTTCTTTTTCCAGATCTATGATATATTTCAGTTGCTGCCAGCAAAGATTCAGGTTGGGGTTTTCTCGGCCACAATGCCACCTGAGGCCCTTGAGATCACCAGGAAATTCATGAACAAACCGGTGAGGATTTTGGTTAAACGTGATGAGCTTACCCTTGAGGGTATCAAACAGTTTTATGTCAATTGTGAGAAGGAGGAATGGAAGCTTGAGACATTATGTGATCTATACGAGACTTTAGCAATCACCCAAAGTGTCATCTTTGTGAACACTAGGCGTAAGGTAGATTGGCTCACAGACAAAATGCGCGGCCGCGATCATACAGTCTCTGCCACCCATGGAGACATGGACCAAAACACTAGAGACATCATTATGAGGGAATTCCGGTCTGGTTCTTCTCGTGTGCTCATTACTACTGATCTTCTTGCCCGTGGTATTGATGTCCAGCAAGTCTCTCTTGTGATCAATTATGATCTTCCGACACAGCCGGAGAACTATCTTCATCGAATTGGTCGTAGTGGACGATTTGGGAGAAAGGGTGTTGCAATCAACTTTATTACCAGGGATGATGAGAGGATGCTGTTTGACATACAAAAGTTCTATAATGTAGTGATTGAGGAGCTGCCAGCTAATGTTGCTGATCTTCTTTGATGCTGTTTCGTGTTGGCAAAGGTAAATGGTTTGAAGTCTAGTCATGATGGTTATTTTCGTTCTTTTTTTCTCTGGGGCCTTTTCATAAATACCATGTAGTTGAGGAACTTGGGTCTTATGCATTTGCAATTGGACTACCATTGCCATTGGGGCTAGAGGTCAGTTATTTTAAATTTTATTGCATCTGTTGTAGTTCGTATGAAATTATGTTGTTCTACACTTATTTATATTTTTGGTGAAGGGGATATTATGTAGAGTTGAAACATTAGTAGCTATTTGTGGTAGGATTCCAGACTTGCTTCCTTATTGTTTTTTAAGCTATTTAACTTGTTATTTTAGCTTTTATGAACAAGGCTTGAATTTCTGTGTTGGTGCGTATTTTTTGTGTAGAATTTGTACTCATTTGAGTGTACGTGATTCAGTTTGCATTTGACTGTGTACAAGATATAGAGAAATGAGATGTTTGATGGACTCCAAAACTCCTGAAACTTCAAGGAATTTAGGCATTACAAGAATGGAGAGAGACTTAATCCACCCTAAGATCTTGGTCCAACAAAGCCCTCTTCAAACTAACAATCGCTAATCAAATTATAACTCTTAAACATCTTTTACGTAGAGACGAATGAATTAAGAGTGAATTATCTGTTTTTCCCATGCGTTCGAGTGAATTATCCAATTATGCCTTACCGTGGGTTAACTTCTATTAGACTCAAGGGGGTTTATCATAGTATTTTAAACTGTAGGATCTGCATTATATTAGACCCAAACCCCAGGCGGCTAAATTTTCTCCTTGATATAATTGATTAACATTTCGGTGTGTGTCGGCTTCAAAGTTCAATCTTGGTAATGATTTTTTATGTTTTCATTTGGGATAATCTTCATTAGGAAATGGAATGATGTAATAGTAATAGTTGGGATTAGTTAAAAGAGGGTGTGAAGTAGAAAAGTGTCATAGTCCTTACCTCAATTTAATTTAATTTTAATTTTTATGATGGGTAAATTAATGGGGTTTCAAATCCATCCTCCTCTTTTGTTTTTATTGACTTGTGAAATTAAGGTCCAATTATTTGGATGGAAGACTAAAGACTTATGGTAATTAATACTTAATAGAGTAGAATTTTGATTAAATACGTAACAGACATAATTTTCATAAACAAGGAATCGGGTCTTACTTTTCCATTTCTCCAATTTTGACTTTGTCAAGACCATTTTAGGCATTTATTAGGGACTTTTCAATGTCACCCTCACCCAATACTTTCGTACATAAATTCAAATTTATGTTACATGATTAACTTGGAAATGTCTTAAATAAATAAATATTTGGTGGTTTAAATGTTTAAAGGTTTTATTTATGTTGTTATTATTCCATATTAGTTTTTATGGTTAAGACTATTTCGTAGGGTAGAGGTGTAAAAACATTGAATATTATATTTTCAAAGGGTGTTATATATGTATATATGAGGAATGTTGGAGAGCATCACTTTCTTTTTACACAAGTTATGGTTGAGATTACATTTAAATTAGGGAATTCATAATGTGCATTAATTAATAATTTAGGCAAGTTGTATTTTAATTATCAACCTGATTCTTAAATAAAAAATAAAAACTGCTTCTTATTAAAATGAATAGCAGATTGATTGATTGATATTTCTCACCTATCTACACCAAATTCTCTTGTTTAAATTATCTATACCTAAAATTGGCATTTATTATGAATCTGTCATTGTAATTTGTAAGCTATTAAAATTCTCCCAAAATAACAAAGGTTTGGATGAAAACAAAAAATAAATATATATATATTAAAATTTCCCTGAAAATTAAAATTAAAATATTCTTTTAAAAATTCATTAAGAATTATACTAACATAACTTTTTATATAACTCAAACTTTTTATTATAAAGAGTTTATCTATAGAAACAAAAATCCAATAGATTCTTTATTCTTTAAATATAAAATTAAAGAGTGAGTTTGACTTTTCATATTTAAATAGTGAAATTTTACTCTCTATTCTAATTTTAAATAATAAATTATAAGTTTCTATGTATTTTATTTATGATATATCTGTCTTATTAAGTTTCTTTCTTGAAGAAACATATTTTCTCTCCTAAAATTTTAAGAGTCTATTGGATTTAAATAAAAAATTTGTTCTTTATATTTAAAAATCAATGAAAATACTCTTTATTTATATGAATAATACTCTTCAAAAGAAATAGTACCGGAAGAGATGTTTTTAAGTATAATTAAACAAGAAGTGCCCTGTTATTATAGAAATAATGGAAATCTTTAATTTTTTGGTGTTAAAATATAATTAAATATTAGCAATACTCTTAACAATTTACTTCTATTATTTTTAAAATCTTTTATTTGATTAAACCTTGGTGATTGAAACCTAAAAGGAAAAACAAAAAGGACAAGTCCATGAAGTCTTCCATTCTCCGAGTTTCTCTGTGTCTGTCTCTCTCAGAGTCAGTCCATCTGTCTCCTGAGTCAACGCAAATGTAAAAAAAATGGTGTTAGACAAAATGATTTCCCGTAAAACACGCCATCTCGAATCAGCTGTGTGTCACCCTCTACCCAATTTAACATTTCCCAAACCCCAACATCTCTCATTCTTCATGGGACCCCACCTCCATTTCCATTATTCTTCTTTGTTCCTTTCTTCAACTTGAACTTCATCCATCCCTTCCATTCTTCTTCGTCTTCTTCCACCCCATGGATGACTACAACAGGTCAAAATCCTACGGGCCTAACTCCATGCAGTTGGACACCTACTACCCTCCTCCTCCTCCTCCTACCTCTCGACCTCCCAATACTTACGACCTCCGGAGCTACAGTGCTTCCTATGCTCACGCTCAGATGTCCAATTATGAATTCAATAACAATAACAACAACGTTAAGGACTTCAAGTTAAAGAAAGGGAAAAGTACTTCTGCCTCTTCTTCTTCAGCGCCCTGGAGCTTTGCTGACCCTGAGTTTCAAAGGAAGAAGAGGGTTGCCAGCTATAAAATGTACAGTGTTGAAGGCAAGGTTAAAGGGTCTTTGAGGAAGAGCTTTAGGTGGCTTAAGGATAGGTACACCCAGGTTCTCTATGGCTGGTGGTGATTTTTTTTTTTTTCCTTATTTGGTTATTGTTGTTGTTTATCTTATTTTGTAATTGTATTTATGTCATGGTATATTTGTGACAATAACAAATTTTGTGTCACTAAACCGGGGGGAAAAAGAAGAACTTTTTAGATTTGTGGGTAATTTGTTATCAATTCTTGATGTGGTTTGGCCACTTGGGGTCTAGTTTTAATGTAAAATCTAGCTCCTGGATATCTTATCTGCTTTTAATTTATTTGCCTGTTCTTCTGAAGATTTTGTTATATAAGTGACTCTGTCATTGCCTATTTGTGATCATGGGAATGTTTTCATTGGTTCTATAGAAGGGATTGTTTGAATTTGGTTTTTGGTTATTGTTTTATAAATTGCATCTTTTGGATGTTATAGATGAGGGTTTTTGTTTTAGAGATTGAATTTTGGTTTTTAAGCATAGATAATATCGTTAATCATGGTTCAAGGAATTAAGGGCATCTACTTTGTATTAAGATTGAGGTGCCAAGATGCGTGATGTTTAAGCTCTAGTTGAGTAGTCTTGTTTCTGTTGCTCCTTATTATGATGTATTCGTTTTTAGTTCCTTGCTTAATAGTCAGTACACTGGCTGAGTAATGATGACAAAATTTTCATATCAAAGCAATGCTGCCAAGGAGTTTATGATGATCCCTTGACCAAATTTTCTTTTTCTTCTGGAAACTTGTTGAAGATATGACATTTTGAGATTAGATCGTTGGCAAATGCATACATGTAGCTTGTGTCACAATTTTTCCAGCATTTCTAGGCCCTTGCAACTTACAATGATACTCTAGGTTTCCACAGTTATTGTTTGCTCATCCTCACACATAAACAATACTTTCCCCTGAAATAGGAGTTTGATATGGTTCATCGTGGAGAATTATGCTAGCCACATACAACCACATAGGCGGTGTTAACAGACATTCTTTCATGGTAGCCAAGGGGACTCCTTAGTAGTGCCTTAGATAGTATCTTGCATTATTTTGAGGATTGCTTTTAATGGAATTTTGGAAATTCTGTACTTAGACCTTGATTGGTAAGGTTACAAGTATCCATAACAAAGCAAACAGGAAAAAGAATATGCTTAAGATGTTTCTTGTAATGCTAAGGAGTAAGGAGTCATTTCAGTTGTTGGGCCAACCATGACTATTGTCTCTTGACTAATACTAAAGATCAATTCTCATTCTCTACTTCATGACCAAGACTTGTTTACATCCTAGACTGCTGCTAGGAATTTCTTAAATATGGTTGTTTGAATCACTGTTCGATCACGAGGATCGTATATACTCAAAGGTTTTTGAACCATCATATTCATCTAAGAGGAAAGATAGAGGAGGGAGGTCAGAGAATAGACCTTTTGTAACAAAGTTCTACATAGTTGAGTTGTATGGTGGTTGATGATGGCAGCCTCCATTTTTTTCTCACCAGATTATGTCTTATTTCTCAGTTATGATTTTGAACTCAGTTTATATATATATATATATGTAAAGAATCACAGATTCCATGCTCTGCAATCTGCTCTGTTTCTACTGCATGTTTTTTTCTTGTGGTTGAGTCTTGGGCTGCATCGCAAAACTCTAGAACACCGATTATTTTTGTCATAGTTGATGAAGTTTTATCTTGACTGCTTAACTGCACAATGAGGAGTTGCATTCAATTCATATTGAAATATTGATTGAGCATTTATCATAATCCTTGGATTTTATATACATTGCAAAATTATGATATAAGCTTGAGCTTAAAGTGTTAGTGGGGAGCACAGATATGAAGAGTGGAGATTTTGCTTTGATATGAAGTGTTGAGAATTTTTTGGTTTTTTAGGAGTGGGAGAGCATAACTTGAGGGAAGCTGATCTTTCAAGCAAGTAGCGTTGATAACATAAATTACCTAAATGTATATATTGACCATATTTTTTAATTAATAAACAAAATGATTATTGATTCTAAATCCATCAATCTATACTATTTTTTTTTTTTTTTTTTTTTTTTTTTTTTGAAGTGGTCTATAAGGATAATACTGTCATGAATAAAGCATTAACAAATCATAGATATCTTTTAAAATTCTGTGTATCAAATTAATTAAGAAAGAAAAAGGATAATAATATAACAGGTTGTTCGACCATTCTGGACAATAATAATAACAGTTGCTCTACTATTCTAGTATTTTCTTCATTTCCGACGTGATATTAAATTGGTTATGTAATTTTATATTTTATTAAAGGGTTTTTAAAATAGGTTAAAGTCACTTTTAAAATTAAAAAAAAAAAATGATTATGTAAGTATCAACTATCATATTATCTCAATAATGAACCTAATTCTATAATTATATTTTATATAAGAAAATATTTAATTAAAAAAGGAAATGTCAAATTTATTATTTTACACGGGAGAATCTTTTTCATTGACGCAACCAATGTAACACGTGCAAGAACCAAAAGTGATATTACCAGATTGGTGGTGACATTAACATAAGTTGGCCACATGCAACATATAATTCTTTTAGGTTACTGATATCATGTTTTATGTAGAAAGAAAGTGTTTGAATGGAGAGAAAATGTAAAGAAAATAAGAGAAAATCCAATGAGAACTCTAAAAAAAAATGAGACAATTCTATCAATAACATACAATTTACAGGTATCAATCTCCTTTTGTACTTTGATGCGAATAAAAATTAGATGAAAGCATATTTACCATTAGATCTGAATGGTAAAATATCATATTAATTCAATAAAATAAATTCAAAGGTGATGAAAGATACTCTTGATAACCTTTGACTAGAGAATGTATCAGATGAAATATATTGAATATATATTATTATTATTACTATTACTATGAAAGGGATAATAAATGTGCGTAAATAAGTTTCTTGTGTTGCAAAGTTGAAATATTTAAAATAAAAATTTGTTCTACCTTTTTACAGCGATGAGTATCCAATAAGAAGCCTAAATCTAAGTTTTGTAAACTCACCACCAACCCATACATTTAAGGCAACCCAAGACACTTGAATCCAACATCAAGTGTTGTCGAAATCGGGTTTTGATTTACAAGAAACAAAGAGCCATGTGGGAATCCATATTTTTAACGTTGGCAGCAACCGCCGGTAATAATATTGGCAAAGTTCTCCAAAAGAAGGGCACCGTCATTCTCCCTCCCCTCTCTTTCAAGCTCAAGGTACATGAAATCTCAAAGCAGAAATTTATAAGGGAAGAATAGGGTTTGTTTTGGGATTGTTAGAAAATGTTGTTTATGCTGGTTTTGATGGAATCTAATTACTTTAGAGGAACTAATTTGTGAGTTCTGAAGTGGGTTTTTATTTCTTCTGTTTGTGAACTCGAAAGTTCGAATTTTTACGTGTTTGGTAGCGTGGAGTTGGAGATGCCAATGAATTTTTCGGAAGCTTCTATATCTATGTTAACCAATGCTGCATGAGTGTTATTTACTGCGATTAATGTAGTATTCAAGTTGTTCTGAATGTTCAGTAATTGTGTTTGTGTCTTTGTAGGTGATAAGGGCTTATGCGGTAAATAAAGCATGGGTGATTGGTTTTTTGATGGACATATTTGGAGCTATGCTTATGTTGAGGGCATTATCTCAAGCTCCTGTAAATATATCTACTTCAACTTCTCATTTTCTCATTTTTTTTTCTTTGATTGCGTTTTTCGAATTCATTGGAGCTCTAGGATTTCTTCTTAGATTTTCTCCGCACTCAACAGAGTTACGATCTTTATAAAATTTCTGGAATCTTTGAGGTGGATTTTTAGATGCCTTTTTGGGCAATGTCATTATCTTATCATTGATCTTATAATGAGTTTGTGTATGTTCTTCTTGCTAATCTTGTCATATTATGACAGGTATCTGTTATTCAACCAGTTTCTGGATGTGGGCTTGCCATTCTCTCTATTTTTTCCCATTTTTATTTGAAGGAGGTTATGAATGCTATTGACTGGATGGGAATTACATTGGCAGGCATTGGCACCATAGGTAATGTAAGTTATTTATGATTCTCATTTTGTACTATGAAATGTGGAATTCATTACGTAGGTATGCAGCTTTTACAGAATGCTTAAATTGTTATGATTATTTGAAGTTAAAAATTAAGAATGGTTTAATTTTCTTGTTTCAAGTTTTCTGCATTTTAGCTTTTGTCGTACTCTGGTATTCAATTTGTGAACAAATGTGACCAAGTAATGATATTCAATTTTTTTTAAAGTAAAAGTCATCCATCTTCTCCTTTGGAATGACAATATGGACCTATGGTTTGTTGTTGTTTCTGTATTTGCAGGAGTTGGTGCTGGTGGTGAGGAGCAAGATTCTTCTTCAATATCCATTTTCCAGTTACCATGGCTGGCTTTCATCGTTTCCATCTTGTTTGTAGGTACCTCTTCCTGCACGCCATCTGATATTTGTATTATTTGTTTTTGTCAAGAATATCACATAGGCATATCTGTATGTGTTAAATTCCTATTATTGTGATCAGATTCTAGTTTGAAGAACATGAAACTGTTGATAAAAATCTGTAGTTCATGTAATTCCCTAATAAAAAAAAATGTTCCTCATACCAAGAAAGATAAGGAGGATGTGGACCGCGGGATTAAAGCTCTAAGGTTTATGCCAGCAGTATTATTGTGTACTTGGGGCAGGTGATCCTTAGTGAATAGATGTCAAAACACATAAACTTCTCAAAGTTGCCTGAGGACATAACTCTGTAATGTATAAATATATCTTCTAATTTGATATGATAATTCTCAATTCATTTGAACAAAGCCTTAAATCAACTACTTAGTCCTGGCTCCACAAACCATGTTCACCATTGAAGTCTATCTAGGGAACAAATTTTTAATATGGAATTTAATCTTTTTAGCACATATCTTAACCCCATGGTAAGACATCTATCTAAATTCAAATTGGAATATCTGCATCATGTAAGTTCTTCTCTTTTCACATAGTTCAAACCTGACAAATAACTAGAGCTTCCTCATCATGTTCTTTGTTTCCTGAGGAATATGTCACTGGCCAAGAGACTGCCTAGTATCTATTATTGAACTTCCATTTTCATTGATTTCCTTTTTGTTTTGTAGCTTGTTCTTCCATCTCTTGTGTTTCATTTTGTTTTCAAAATTTTAGTTTATCTTGTAATGGCTGTCTGTAGCAATATTGATTTTTTTTTTTTTTCTTTTAAATATAATTTTTTGTAGCTAAGGCTTACCATAAATGGCTTGAAATGGTATGCACTTGATATTCTGTTGTCAATATTAGGCCACCTTAATCCAGAAAGGGGCATAACCAGTTTTTTGTGCTTTATTTTCTTACTTCCTTATTACGTTTGTGTTTTAGAGTTCTGTCCATAACTTTTATCTGTCTCTGTTCATTGGGATGGCTGTGTTAAATATAATGCTGTTTTTCTACATATAATGATTGATATTTTGGAATAGGTACTCCTTAATGGGTGGCTTCGTATTTTTAAACGTCAACGAAGAGAACAAGAGATGGTAAATTCCACATAGTTGCTGCCAGTTCCATAAGGCTTATGCCTCTTTGTCACAATAAATAGTGCTTGCAGAACTGGCATTTTCTGTTTTCCTCTCCTGCTTCACTGACAGTATATTTCTCGCAGATGGATTTTGAAGTTGTTGAAGAAATTATATATGGTTTGGAATCTGGCATTTTGTTTGGGTATGATTTCTTACTACTAGATTAATGCAAATATTGTGTTTTTGTTGTTAGTATTTAGATGATTCAGTTTTCTGTTCATTATGGGCATCATTGCAATCTAAGGAATATTTTATTGATCAGTCTTAAGTTTTGACCTGTTGACAAATGGACTCATCAAAATAGGCAGAAACTTCCTCCTCTGTTAATGACTCTATTTTAATTTATAGAGATAAGTTAGTGATGATAGAGAAAGGCTAGACTTTTGTTATTTATGTGGATGTGTCCTAATAATAGAGAAAGGTTAGATTTATATTGTTACATAGATGTGATTACACTCATTCTTATTTTTGCAAGCATGATTGGACAATCCCATATATCCTTATTTCTTAGCGAAAAAATCCCATATATCCTTTATGAAATAAAATTTGTCAAGTAGAAGTGAACAAAAAATTAGGTGTTGAATCTTGACTCTCCTTTTCTCAAAGCCTTCTTTTTCCTCTTCATAAAAAATCACAAATACTCCTTTGCATCTTCTTCATCTTGTGGAAATGATGAAGGCAATGAGGTTTAATCTGTTGAAGATGAGAATTGATTTGGCAGTCTTTTTCTTTTTGACAATAAGTAAATCAACATGGGAAAGGAAGTTCAATGTTTATGAGAAGTGCTTGGTCAAGAAAGAGGTTTTTTTTTAGCATTTGGGAGAAATCTATGGTGCATAATGGATTTTAAATTTGCAGTGGTGATTTCTTTATCAATTAATAACTTTTGGTGTAATAACGGAAAATATGTCATTTTGCTGAACAAATTGAGTACGAATCCACTTATGTGATGTTAGCATATTGTAGGGAAGGTTTCTGTTTAATTTTCAAACCAGGATGATCTAATTGTACTTAGGCTAACCTTAGGTGAGGCCACAATACAATAGAAAAACTTATGCTGCTTTAGATTGCCTATGTTTTCTTTGGCTCCTATAGTTTCATGATATCATATACCAATGCATAAATAAAAAAATAAAAAAATAAAATTAGAGAAGGCTTGCGACATGCTAGCCTTCATTGGGAGAACACGATATAAGGGCTTTGCTCAGATTACCTGCCTTGTACTCGAATATCTGTTAGATCATTATGTACTGCAATGTAGCTTGTTAACTCTTTTTTTTAAATTTATTTTGCATTTAGGCAGTAAGTGCTCATCACTTGTACATGCTTTTATGTGGATCAAATTCAACACTAAGTGGAAGTTAAAAGAAAAATTATTTAAAGACTGTTGTTAAGTAATGTTTTTAAAACTTTGATTTAAAATCTCATCTAATATATTTCAGGATGGCATCTGTTATATCAAAGATGGGATTTGTCTTCTTGGAGCAGGGCTTCCCCAGTATGCTAGTTCCTGTATGCATTTCTATCAGCATATGTTGTAGTGGTACTGGATTTTACTACCAGGTATTTCGAAGACTGGCTAGATGTAGATCCAAATGTGTTCATGTTCCTGGAGAGAGCTTTTACAGCCCTTTTAGCCAAGTAGAATTGTTGACCATCTAACATGACCACAGTTATATTTGATTTCTTTCTGTGTTGTTTAAGTTCCTGCATTTCAACCCATATTTCACACCATCTATTTTTATCTGTTCTTGTTCTTAAGGGTGTGACAAATTTGAGCCATTGTTTACAATTATGAATATGATCGTGTTACTCCTGTTAGCAGACACCAGTGTACAATTACAAACATAATTGTGTTACTCTCTTAACAGACACCATTGTACAATTATAAACATAATTGTGTTACTCCCTTTAACAGACACCATTGTACAATTATAAACATAATTGTGTTACTGACTTTAACAGACGTGGGGTCTAAAGCATGGGAGGGCTATTGTAGTTTCTACATGTGCTGCTGTGGCTTCAATTGTGACTGGAGTAGTTGCTGGTATGCTTGCTTTGGGTGAACGATTGCCTTCTGCACCAACTGCTCGTCTTTCACTTCTGCTTGGATGGTAACTCAAGGCACAACCTGTATTTTGGATATTGCTTGTGTAGAAAAAACAATATATTTAATTGAATGATGGGGTCTTATTTTATATAGTTTGAATCTTGATGCATATAGCCAAATACCATAGTTAAGGGCCCTGAGGAGGATGGTGTATAAAAAATTATGGGCAGATTTTATATCCTTTGATCTAGACTCTTTGCCATTCAAACAATTTCTCTATGTTTTTGGTCTAAATTGAGGGTGATTGTTCAATGTTAGGTCCTCATTCTCCCCTTGCTAAATTTGTTCTCAAGGATGACTTCGCTAATTGGGGTTTCATTGCTCAGATTAAGATATTTGTCAGAGCTTGTTATTTACTTGAAAAATATTCAATTGCAGGCTACTTATCATGATAGGTGTGATTTTACTAGTAAGTTCAGCACGGCTTATGCGTCACCTTCCCTGGCCATTGCGACAAGTTATACAGAGTGGGGTTGATAGAAATTTCACTCCTCGGCGATCTGTGTCTCAGCGTGCCAAGGATCCGAGCCCAAGTGCTATTATACAGGCATCAACGTTGCATAATCTGATATCATCTTCAGCAAAGGAGAAAGCTTGACCACAAAATGACTAGAGGATCCCTACAGATGCTTATATATGAAATTTCTGGTTAACTTGCTTTCACATTTTGCAAAGTAGCAGATTGCCTTTCTCGAACCCAGGTGTACAGTAACTGTCTGTCTTTTTTATTTTTCAGAGGGCATGACAGATTTTAGATCATTTCTACAATGGGAAATGTCTTGAAGCATGTGTTGTGAAATCTCATTACCCTTCTTTTACCAAGCTGTTTTTAAAGTCTCAATCATTTGTAATGACTCTACTTTATGATGTTTTTAGTGACAGCATTTTAACCGTAAACAAGCTTGGAATTTTTGGGTAAATAGTTTTGCGGCGGAATGATTTTTATTTTTTTATTTTTTTTTGTGGCAATTATAAGTTACAGCTTTCATGGTCTTATATCTTGTCCCTACCAAGTGATAATTGTCTGAGTACCCTTGGCTCTGTACTAAAAAACAATGAATACTAACATTGAGGATCGACAATAATTTCATTGAAGCAGAGACATCTTGCTGGCGGGCTCAGCAAAATGATAATATCATTCCGTATGTTGTATTGTTCTTTTCAATGTTTTGAAACGCCTTCTCCACCCCAAAGTATGTATTTGGCTTAATTAGTTCACTGCAATCTGGTATATACATAATTCAATGTAGGGTCACACTACATTATCAGCTGATTAACATGGTTGAATCGAGCCGTTCTAACATAACAATTTCCTTAAACATGATGCGCAAGCACATAATCAACAAGGACAGGAACTGTCTGGACAGAACAAAAAGCTGGTACTGTCCAGTAAACAGTCGATGGTTCTTCCATTATTGCGAATGACCTATTTATGAATACAGAAACATAACACTAAAAAGGGACCCATGATAAGCAACAACCATCTCCACCGTTAACTGCAACACTCCATGACTTTGACATGAGCGAGAGCCACTGCTGTTGCATATTCCACAAAGAAAAACAAAACCAATCCCAACATTCAGAATCTAAATGCCATCATACAATTCGTAAAATGACCAATCCTGATGGCCCATATGGTGGTAAAAAGAAATAAACAGCAACCTCTAAAGGAAAAGCTACTTTTAGGAAAATAACAGCAAAACTGCTCAACTATTTTGGGTCTTACAGTTTTATACATAATTAAGATGTCCAAAATCTCTAGTGAGCTGCTGTTTCCAAATTGTACTGAGGCCATACTTACCTTTGAAAGCTACTGATATGAGAAATGAGCTTCCCAAAAATGACAGATAAGTTTGGTTTCCCAAGTTTTGGGACAAACTGGTTTCCTGGTAGCAGCCTGCTTACCTGTATGGGTAAGGATTAGAACTTTAAAACCAACACTTCACACTTTTCAAGCACTGCCCCGCTTTCTACCAAGTAAAAAAAAAAACATAAACTAAAGATGCCAAAGAAAGAGACAATAATTAAGCTCTTTCTTTCCCACTCTCCAACTTTGGCTCATTTTAATCTCCTAGTAGGTGGAATATGTTTCTTGTAAGGAATTCGTCAAGCAAAAATAATTCAATTCATAATTGAAGTGCTCTATCAGAACTAGAAAGTCACAGGATATGAAGAATTTTAAAATGTTTTTGATGCCAATTCCACTTATCATGAGTTTTATAAGCATACTGTACCAAGTTTCTATACCCCAAAAGGAGAGGAAGAAGAATCACTGCAAAAATGTCCCCACTTGAAGTTCCACCACAAAAGGACTGATTCCTAATAGCCGAACATGTCTTTTCATGGGAAAGAGAGTGTGGGGGACGGGTGGGGGGTGGGAGGATGTAGGGAAGAGTAGATATGATATAAAGTAATAAGCAATATTTTCTCTTTTGAACTTCAAAAAATTGGCTCTGTTTCAACTCATCTTAAAAAAAAAACATACAATAGGTGGAAAAGAATCTTCAGCAACTGCTTGAAGTGTAATTTAAACAGATCATCTAAAAACTGCTAAGAATACTTAGCACGTTAGAATCTAAATAGTTACAAAAGAAAATTCCAACTGTCAATTTATATCTATCTGGAAATCGCAAATCAGGATGGCCTTTCAACCTCTAAGGAAATAAGTTTTCTAACTTCTCTCAAGCTGCTGTCAATGAGTTCCATATTATGCAATGACAGCAGCAAAGTGTAAGCTTTCAAAAGTAAACTATGATCTGCAGACTTGTAGAAACATTTAAGTCCCGTATTCTATTATAAGAAGCACAGTCCTCTCACATATGGAGAGTACCTGTATTAGCCAAAATCAAGATATTTTCTTAAGATGGAAAAAGAGCAAAAGTCGGGGAAGAATAATGCTAGGAGCGAGAACTCACTCTCCCCTAACCTCTCATTGACAAGCAATTCTAAGACCAATAATATTGGTGTTATTGATAAAGATTAGTGACTAGATAAAAAAAAATTCCTCCCTCCTCGAGGTAAAGAAAGTGATGGAGTGAGAGAAGAGTGCTTGGGCATATGGCTTCTAAGAATTAATTCTCATTGAAACTATAGATGCGTCAGAACTTGTGGTCCAACGATACAAGTCGCAGCATTCTGTCACGAGAGGTTTCTAGATCAAGTTGATAACAAAGACAACCTCACTTGTGACTCTAGCTCCACCCTTTGGAAGGGCAGTAGGTGCCACAGCTTCTTCAAGGAATGTCATCAAGAGAGACATTGCTATTTACTACACTACACAAAGTTCCCTTAATTAGAGTTATCATTTGTCAAAGAATGGTGCACATTTCTTTATTAAAGTCAGATTGAAGTGCCTGTGAATCAAAAGCTTTAACGGCTAAAAATCTAAGTTGTCCCCAAGTAACCCACCTAGTCTTTACAACAGTGAACAGTGGGACCATCTTAATGCACATTAGAAGATTCTGCACTATAATTTGTAACCATCTGTTTGCATTTCAAAGTATCCCAGCCCTTTAATAAGGGGTAACAATTTGATATGACTGAGGAATAGTGGGCAAATTGACTATAATGAAAATATGCTGTAAGACAGCAATGATAATTTTAATAGAATTCAAACCACAAACAACGACAAAAGTACATGGTAATGAACAATATTTGGCCCCATTTAAATAGATACTTGTACACAACTCAAATGATGATGAATCACATCAGAAATCAATTCAGGAAAAAAACCTACCACCAATAATTTACTGCACATATTATTGCTTTGGATAATCACCGAGTTGCTCCATCTGCCAGCTTTCATGAGGAGCAACATGTTCATGAGATGGAGTGTATTGCTGCAAATTTTAATAAAAAATTAGAAAGTTAATATATTAAAACTCTGCTTGGAGGAAATTATAAACAAATATCTCCTAAGAACTGGAAAAATAGGATTTTTAATGAAGTTAGAATGCAGGGGAAGCCACACTATTTCTGGCTCTAAGTAAGAAAAAAATATATAATAAAACAGAAAAAAATAAAAAGAAATATCAAATACATAAAAAAAGAATCATAACACCAAAAGAAATATAACCAAAAATTGACATAAGTTCACAATTTGTCCTCATGGCAATAGACAGACAAGTGGAGGCAGAAATGTGCTGTGTTATGGTACTTATGTTGAAGTGCCAATCCAGCATTTTCTTTCAAAATTTAAAATGTTTATTCCAAAATGATAGCCTCATCAAACACGATGATTTAAAACCCGGTAATGGGTAGGTTATTTCAGCAACCTTTATTGCATGAAAGTTGGTGAATTAATTTCCAAATTTCCACAGTTTGTAGGAAGGAAGAACATAAAAAATATCTACTGTTATTGGATGTTGACTTGCATCTATGTACTTCTTTTCCTTTTACCAAACATTTCCTGATTAATAAAATTAGAAAAAGAGGAGTTTAGTTAAGCTTTTACCTCCATCTTTTCCAGAAGTTCTTTGGCAGTAGGAGCAGAAATAATTATCTGCCGAGCACTTGGTTTGATGAAACCTTCTTCAACGCCATTGTCAAATAATGCAAGCAAAGAATTATAGTATCCATCAACATTTAGCAGACCAACCTGTAGAGTTCAAATACCCAGTTACAAGTAGACACTAAGGAGTGTTTTGCCTAAATCTGTTCTTCAAAAAAGAAGGTTTATTGGTTACCGGTTTCTTATGAATTCCAAGTTGGGACCACGTTATCATCTCCAACAGCTCTTCCATGGTACCATATCCCCCTAAAACAACAAACTCTCTTACTATCATTAGCAAATATAACATGCAAAAACATTTCAAAGCTATGATTCTTAAGTGGCAAAAATTTTACTTTTGTTATTAGGAAACTCAACATTCTAATCAGTAGTTCTTTGCTTTTCAAAATCATTAAGGAAGATATTCATGTTTATTACCAGGAAGCGCAATAAAGGCATCAGCTTCTCGAGCCATTGCAGCTTTACGCTCATGCATGTCTGAAACAGTTTTCAGTTCTCCAACAGTCTCACCAGATATCTGTTGCAGTGTCCAACATGATTTACTAGTGATAATTGACAACAAAATTTCAGCTCACCAAAGACATAATGTTGCTTTACATTTCAGAGGGGAAAAATCTTTTTTTTTTTTTTAATCAACATGCAAAATCAAGCATTCAAAATATGATTAATAATAGTACAGAAAATAATGTACATAGAGAACACCATTCAAAGGAATAGTTGAAAAATTGAGAAATTTGAATACCTAAAGACTTAATGCTCGAATGAATCCCAAATAAGAACAATATGATTAATATTTTCTTAATCATAAAGATTTTGGAAAAGTACAAGTAAATTCAGATAAAGCAAAATATACTCATTTAAGATATTAGTTTATGAATTGAGATTACGTATACCTCAAGCGGCATGAGAGCTTTTGGAATAATCCTGCATTTGAAGAGTAACCATTAGCTCACCAGTAAATGTGATAAGGAAACACCTTGCTTGCTATTTTAATGGTGAAAACTGAAGGATTAAGGCAAGTGTTAAAGTTACCCAAGGACATGACAACCTCCATCATGAACAGTCTGGGATATCAAACCCATCAATCCAACACTTCCTCCACCATAGACCAAGTGTATCTTTCTCCTCACCTGTAATCAAAGTTCATTGAAGCCAGAGTCCATATATACCAAAAAACACATACCCAGTTCAATACATAAAGCACTCAATCCAAAACTCATCAATACACCAACAAAATCACAAAAAAAGTTATTGTTCTAAAGCCAGAACCACCTGAATATGTGATCAACAAACAGAGCAATCCCAGTCCAATAAATGAAACACAAATGTCATAACTTCATAGTAAACACAAAAAAGCAATAAAAAAGCTGAGGATTCTAGACCAGAAACCAATACACAGTTGAGTTCTACCGTCCATCATTCATTCACTCAACCCCACATGCTAATAAACACAAAAAAACAAAACTCTTTATGAAAAGAAGATAAGGAAGAAACCAGTTCATTGCCCAATTCAAGAGCAGCATCACTGAAGACTTTTCTGTGGCCAGAGTTGCTTCCACAGAACACACAAATCCTTTTGAAGTTGCTTCTTATGTAGCCTTCTTCCATTAACAATCTCTCAAAAAAGCACTTTAATTATTTAATCATTTGAATGAAAACCAAACCAAAACCAATACAAGAAAGAGAGAAAGAAATGTTTGCTTGTATTGTAACAACTTTATTTTTATGAAAGCAAACAAAACAGAAAACAAAAGCAGAGAATATGTTAATAAAAACAAAAAACAATCTATGGTAAGTAAATGCTAAGTTGATAAATAAAGCAATAAAAAAAGAAGGTGACTATTATATTTATAAACATCAAAACATGAGCAGCCCACTTGCTCCATCTCCTTTCTTATTCAACGTCTCTGTGTCGGCTTTATGATTTTTTTATTATTATTTTTAATAGGTTTAACTATGATTATAGCCTAATCTCAGAATTTCTAGGAGGGGACTTTCAATAATAATTAATAAATGGCCAAAATTATGAAGGCAACTTCCTTTTATTAAAAGTCTATTTGGATCTTTGCCATGTGGAGGTAAGGCTAATAATCATCTATTCCATATTGGGTTGCTTCAAAATATGTCAACTACGTACTTAAATATTTGAATCTACTACATTTGTTAATATCATCAAATCTTATAGAAAAATGTGTAAGATTACATCTAATAAATGCCATAATTTGTTTTTTTTTTTTATTTATTTATTAAGGGTGTCCTGCTTCGGTCATAATGATACACACCCAAAGATTAATCTAAAATTCTCATTATGGTGAGGTGTAATTCACTAATCAATAATACTATACTTATAAAGATTTCTATACAAAGTGATGTGGTAAAAAATGAATGAAAAAGTCAAACTTATTAAATTCAATCTTCCGTTCATTTTTTGACACATCACTTTGTATGGAGATCTTTGTAAAATTTCTTTGTAAGTGTAGTATTATTTTTCACTAATACTATATAGTGTTAGAAATAAATATAAATAGAGTTGTAATTCGATGTGACTATACCATATAGGATTACATATTATTTGGAATGTGAATTTCAAGATGTAAAGCATTATTCTAATAAAGTTAAGATAATGGTGAATAAATAGTGAATATTAAAAATTTTGTATATAGAATTATTTTAATCAGAAATTCTTATACAAAATTGTGAAAGAAAGTTTCATTTTCTCAAATTTTTTATTTGAGAAATGCTCTTTTATAGTCATTCATTAATTTTAATTCCCAAAATATCAAGATTTATTTAAAAAACAGAAACAATTGTAAAATCAAGTGAGTTAACCAAATTGCCATTAATGAAAAATAACACGACAATAATAGTCAAAATGCAATTGACTACTAAGGGTCCATTTGGCTGGGCATTTTCAAAAAATGGTTATGGTTAGAGGAGCTTTTATTAATAAGTTGTTGGTTGTTTGATTGTTAATTATAATAACTCTTATCTTTTGGTTGTATTATTATAAAAACACTTATTTCATAATAAATTACGAAAAAGGTATATGATATATACAATTTATTTAAAAATATTATTAAGACTTTACATACTTATGAAATTGATCTGTTGTATTTCGATCCCGTAGGAGAGTGGTGACTTTCTTTGTTGAGATATTGGCTATAAATTAAAAAGAAAAAAAGAATAAGGTTTTATTTCAAAGGAAGGATATATAGTGTAATTATAAAAATAATACGAGGATATATTTGACATAAGAAAAGTTTTAGAAAGCCTAAAAAGAGCTTATGTACCCAAAAACCAAAAAATAGCTTTTTTATAGCCCTAGAAGTACTTTTGGAATAAAACCAAATAACCTTAAAAAAAAAATAAAAAAAAAATCAAAAGTGCTTATAGGATTAAAAAAGCTCTTTTGGGCAAAAAGAAGCCAAACCAAACAAACTGTTAAGTCTAGCATGATTTAGCATGGCTATCATGCTATAATTATATTGTTAAATGCTTAGACTATACTATCGAGTTTAGTATAGTCTAAGGTTATATATTAGAGAATATATCTTTAGTTATTTCATTTGATACAAACCTTGATTTTACTACTAGATTTGTTCTTTAAAAAAAAATCTTCATATTTTGGGAAACAAAAATTATTGACTTGGTTACATATGTTCAAATCCCATCAATAAAATTATTTTACAAAAAGATGGAGGAAAGGGTTGAAGCTAACTTGATAGAACTTAAAATCTTTAGTAATAAACAAAACAAAATAAATAAATATATATATACAGTAGCGGATCCAGAAATTTTTTTTAAGGTGAGTCAAAATAAAAACTAATTACATATTAATATTTTTGTTAAGATGGGTCAAAATCCAAAAATTATATATATTAGTATTTAAAAAAAAAAATTGAGGGTGGGCCGGGCTGGATCCGCCCCTGTATATATATATAATTTTTACGAAATTTATTAAGGTGTGTAGCCGTTTTATGGAATATGTAGGTCGTTAAGGGATAGATTTGTGACGTAGACCTAACATTCTCGAAATATAACATAAAATGGCGAAGAATCACTTATTTTCTTAGGAAGAGATATCACTAGCTAAGTTATATATGTAAGAGAGTTCCTTCTATTATTGAGTTGTTTTAATTGGTAACATATAACAATTGTCATCAATACTCCTACTGAAACCAATCGATGACAAATCATAACACACACTCATATATATGTATATATACCCACAAAGATATATAAAAAAGTTTTTGTCACTAATTGCCTCTAAGCGAGGGTGATACATACAAATGGGTTTCGAGTGTTCTCTCTAAGAATATAGGATTTGAGTACAAATGAGAGTGGATGATGATTAAGGTCGAGCTCTAGGGTTTTCAATAAAGTTGTACTTTCTCTTCTTGCTCAAAGTCTTCTTCTCTTGCAATAACTCACTTTATTTATGTCTTCACCAACCCTTGAAATAAATTAGAGATGTTGCTTTATTTAATGCACTGTTATAGCTTTCTGCAAAACTACAAAACCCAGAGGAATGATTGTTCAATTATCACGAACAGTTCATTCTTGACACCAATAGTCACTTTTCTTTCAAATTTAGGTTTTGAATAGTCGTTCTCCTATCGCAAACAGGTGTTTCCCTATGAGAATGGTCATTTCTTCTTGTACCACATAAATTCTAGAAATTCCAGAGCCATGAACGACTTCGGGGAATGGTATCTTTCATTCTTGGAATGGCTTGATATTTTCTAAGAATGGGCGTTCGTCATGGTAGTTCTATTTCAACTTCAATTTCCCAAAACCTTGACTTGAGCTCGAATCTTCTAAGTCCAAAAATCTCGACTTGAGATAGAACGTGCATTCCTCTTATGCAACAGACGTTCCTCTTCAAATCACAAAGACCGTCAAGATTCCAAAACCATGAATGATATGATGGAATAACGTTGTTCATGTGGAATGATCGTTTTGCGTCACATTGTGAGTGTGTGTCAGCCTCTTCGAATAAGTCTTTTGTTACGTTTGGCACCACTTGATGGAATAGGGCATTCGATTTGAAATGGCTTGACTGGAAGGTGGCTTCAAGTTGGTAGATTGATGAATGACATCATGGAACGATGTCATTCCTTCTTGGAATGGCTTGACTGAGACTTATTTTAATTCAAGTGAAAGGAAACGAGCATTCATCATGGTAGTTCTATTTTGACTTCAATTTCCCAAAACCTTGACTTGAGCTTGAATCTTCTAAGTCCAAAAATCTTGACTTGAGATGGAACATGCATTCCTTTTATGGAATGAGCATTCCTCTTTAGATCGCAAAGAGTGTCAAGATTCCAAAACCATAAACGATGTGATGAAACAACGTCATTCATGGGGAATGATCATTTTGTTTTAGATTGCAACTGTATGCCAATCTTTTCGAATAAGTCTTATGTTATGTTTGGAACGACTTGTTGAAACCGGGCATTCGATTTGGAACGACTTGACTGGAAGTTAGCTTCAATTTGGAAAATTGATGAACGACATCATGGAACGATGTCGTTCCTTCTTGGAACAAATTGACTGGGAGTTATTTTCAATTCAAGTGAAAAGGAATGGGCGTTCCATATGTAAGAACAGGTGTTCCACCTAGAAAACTGCATTTTCATTTTAAGGTTATGACTTATGTCATTCCTTTTGCACATCATTAGTCCTTAAACATTCTTTTGATTAGTTTTGGCAAATCAAAACATATAAGGGCTCAACATAAACAAATTTACTTATAGCAAGCTAATCATATTCCTACTAAAACAAGTAAGAGTAATTATAAAATTGGAAAACTTAACTAATTCTTAAAATAACTAGATTCCAAATTAAAATTAGGAAAACAACTTAAATTCCTAATATAAAACCCTAAATAAGAAAAACAAATAATGAAACGTAAACAAAATCAAATCGTAATTTAATTAGGTGCAACAACTTGATTTTGCTTCTTTTGATCCTAAGGTGTAAAGACAATTTTCTTTCCATCTTGATATAAGGCATAAGTAACACACACAAACACCCACACATGCGCACGCGCGCACACACACACACACACACACATTCACACACAAATTCAGGTTATAACACCTTGTTTAAAGTATGAATCTATTTATGTGAAAATAGTTAAAAATATATAAACGATATTTGAAGTATAAGTACTTTATTATTATTATTATTATTATTATTATTATTATATAAAAATGTAAAAAACATGAGGATTTGTTTTAATAAAGACCTATAAATTATAGTTTGTTACCTATAATACTTGAGACAAACGCTAACAACATGCAAAACCATAATAAAAGGTTTGAAATTATTTGGTGAAAGCCAAAGGATTCCATATATTATTTAGAGTTGTACTAATGACAGTTGCACCTGTGAGACTCACTGCATGCCTCGTGTCACATGGTATAAAATATATATTTTATATTATTAAATTATATATATAAAGTTGAATACCCATATAGGTTGATCGACACGTGACACATTTTGGAAGCTCTAGAATTGCTCCATTTTGACACACTGGATTAACAAGCCAATCAAATTGCTTTATCTTAACACGTTGGATTTGTATTTATTGCTCCATCTATAATTATTAATTAATTAAAAAATGGGATATGTATTAATAATAATAATAATACTAATACTAATACTAATAATAATAATACAGGTGCATTGTATTAACATTATAAAGGTCTAACCATAACAATACATTGGATTTGTAATTGCCATGTAGTTGAATTTTATTGGATGTAGACAATATTAATTGCTGCATTGGTATTCCAAAGTCTGAATAAATAGACATAAATATTAGATTACATAGGTGCATTGTATTGGTTGTATTAATAATTAATAATAATAGTAATTATATAAATGCATTGCATTAACATTCTAAAGGTCTAACCATAATGATACCTTGGATTTGTGATTTCCATG